AATGAGAGTATTACAATGTAGTTTCTGTATTATTCAAGTTTCTACAATATTACCAGTCTAGTAAGAAAATGTCTTTATATTTTTCAGATTTGCAATCCTGATACTGAAGTCCTAAAATTGTGGGCTCTGGAATTTCAAAGCACAGAAACAGTTCATCTTAATAGGACACAGATCTGAGGATAACATGAAAGACCCCTGGGTGCCTCAATCAGAGAGAGAGTTAGAGTCTCAGCCTACAAATGAGGCAAAGAGGGATGGAATACAAAATGGACATAGACAGGAAATGAACTACAGCAACTCTCTGCCACCAACCCTCCTTCATTTGCCTCAGTCTTTCTCTTCATTTACTTACACTCTTCTCACAGAAAACACTGAAGGAGTCAGAAGTTTTACATTAAAGTGTACTGCAACACACTATCCATGCTTGTCTGTTCAGGTCTGCAGACTGTGTGATCCCGTTGTATAAAAGATACATTTATATATTTTATCAACTCTATAATCATTCTCATATTTAAATAAAACTAGGATTTTAATAAATGTAAAATGCTAATAATCAGCCCAATAACTTAAAATAATTCTGGTTTTCATAATCTAACTTTTTTAGCATTTTTAAGAATCAGTATTTTTATGGAACAGTTTCATTTCTAAGGCGCTGCCTTCTGAAGAAAAATCTTCATACTCAAAAAAAGGCCTATCGGATTCAATATACTCGTAAAGGAAAAATTGCACAGATTTTAGAAGTGGTTGTGAAAGAAGGAAGCCAGCATGTCCTCAAAGTATAACTAAGTATGCATTGTTCAGTCAAGTTCAATTTTTATATTGCCATTTTGTTTTACATTTATCTATCTTTATTCCAGGGACTTCAAAAGTTTTAAATGAGAACATTTTTCACGTTCCCTGAGAAAAGGAAAATCTTGTGCAATTAAAGACAGGAAAACTGAGATCTAGATTTTCTGTATTGTTGCTCAAATGCGTAAAGCATGTCAGTAGCAAAGCAGAAAAGAAAAAGTTCAAATTTAAGTACCCAGTTAATAACCTCTCTATAGTAAGATATACTGCAATGTGACACACTGCAATGGGTTCTGTATATCAAAACTACACTAATGAACATGAACACTAGGAAGTCCTGCAAGGAGGTCTGACAATTTGCCTGGCAGTCTGTCTCTATCCCTGCTGAGAATCTAATTCTACTGAGTAGTACTCTATTCCCACTCATGCCAATGAACATCATGTAAAAGAGGAATGAGACCAGCTTTGACTATGAAATTATTCACTGGATATAGAAGGGGAAGAACTCAAAAATGTGAAAGGGAAACAGCTTCTTTCCTCATCACTAGAAGAGTTTCATCAGAAAGAACTGATTTCTACAAATCCATTTGCCTACTTGTATACTGCAAGTGCTGAGAAAGAAAGGCAAGAATAAGAACTTGAAGATGGGATGAAACAAATCAAAATGGATGAAAACAAATCTGGAATATATTAGTTGGCTTATGGCAGGCATGTTACTTAGAAAAAGACGCCAAAGAAAAATCGGCATTTAAAAAAAAAAATCCTTAGAATTTATCCTTACCCAAAAAGAGGAAATCATAGAATCATAGAATGGTTTGAATTGGAGGGGACATTTACAGGTCATCTAGCCCAACCCCCCTGCAGTCAGCAGGGACATCTTCAACTACATCAGGTTGCTCAGAGCCCCATCCAACCTGGCCTTGAATGTTTCTAGGGATCGGGACTCCACTACCTCTCTGGGCAATCTGTTCCAGTGTTTCACCACTCGCATGGTAAAAAATTTCTTCCTTGTATCTAGTCTAAAGCTACCCTCCCTTAGTTTCAAACCACTACCCCTTGTCCTATTGCAACAGCCCCTGCTGAGAAGCCTGTCCCCATCTTTCTTGCAGGCCCCCTTTCAGGTACTGAAGGGCCACAATAAGGTCTCCCCGCAGCCTTCCCTTCTCCAGGCTGAACAGCCCCAACTCTCTCAGCCTTTCCTCATAGGAGAGGTACTCCAGCCCTCTGACCATTTTGGTGGCCCTCCTCTGGATCCACTTCACAGGTCCGTGTCTTTCCTGTGCTGAGGGATCCAGAGCTGGATGCAGGACTCCAGGTGGGCTCTCACCAGAGCAGAGTGGCAGAATCACCTCCCTCCACCTTCTGGCCATGCTTCTCTTGATGCAGCCCAGGATACGGTTGGCCTTCCGGGCTGCAAGCGCACATTGTCGGCTCATGTCCAGCTTTTCATCCACCAGTACCCCCAAGTCCTTCTCCTCAGGGCTTCCCTCAATCCCTTCATCCCCCAGCCTGTATTGATACTGGGGGTTGCCCCAACCCATGTGGGGGTTGCACTTCGCCTTGTTGAACCAACCTTGCACTTGGCCTTGTTGAACCTCATGAGGTTCACACAGGCCTACTTCTTCAACTTGTCCAGGTCCCTCTGGATGGCTTCCTGTCCCTCAGGTGTGTCATCACAATATGAGGGCATTCCAGGTACCTTGTCAACATGTGGCAAGCAGATATTAATTACAGCTTGGCATGTCCTGGTATTCCTGCATCAAATCGTTTAGTCTATTAAAACATCCTACCAACGAGTAAAATGTGAACTGTGAGAAAACAGATGAAGTCCTATGTCTAAATTTGCCTATTCATGGACAATTTCCTGGGTTCAGTTCTGCAGTTCTTAGCTCTTTACCTGACTGGAAGCACAATTATTAGATTAAATACGGCATTATTTTTAATCAGACAATGAAATGTAATTATGAAGCAGAAATCAGTAACAGCATTTCCTACCTTTCCAATTACACGACCATTGACAAGAGCTAGAGCAAGGCGTGGCATCTGATGACTTCTGAATACACATATATTTCTCCGTTTGACATTTACATCAAAAAGACCTAAGTTAAATGAAGAAAATGTCAGAAGTATGAGAGTATATTAATTCCTATTTGCATTTAATTACAATCGATGATTTATCATTTTCAAGGGAAAAGAATGAATCAAGTGTTTAACTCAACAGTTTGACCTCTCTGATCAATGAATCCATCTCAAGACTACCATCTACTTCACTGCCTTGAGAAGAAAAACCCTGAGAGCTAATGATAAGGAACAAATTTCTTTTCATCAGCATATATGTTTAAAAAAAAATCCATAAAAAGGAGCTGAGGACTCCAGTGTAATGAACTGGGCTGTAGCAACGAATTTACATGATAAATAACAGATCATGTAGGGAACACAAAGCTCTCCAGCAGAAGAAGAGAGTTCATTTTCTCTGCATCCATACTAGGATTTGTAAAGCAAATCTTGCAGCATAGCTCATGGCTTCTAAAATATTAAATGTAGCCAATTTTACAAACAATTACCTCTTACAGCTACCAAATACTGATGAAAAATAAAGAAGTGCCATTTTTCTTGTTCCCAGCAGCAATAGCTGATTTTTTAGACAACTGTTGTACCAGTACATGATGTTGCTGATTTGTAAGGTGCAGCTGTCTCTGGAGGACTCCTGTGGTGTCCATAACAAAAGATTTTCAGGGTGTCTTTGAGCCCATAACAATTATAGAGCCAAGGATCATTGTACCCATCAGGATGATGCCACAAATCATAAAATACAGATGGGGCTTCTAGTCCTTGGGACAAGCTAGGGAGGACACACAACTGTCACAATCAGTCTCTCCTTTCAGATAGAGATAAAGCTTCCTGAGAAAATTTAAAAAACCTAGACCAAATCATCATCTGATAAAATTTGCCATCATTAATCAGAATGCAATAAATATGTCATGTTTATGTCGGAAAAATACCATTAGAAATGCACTAACTGATAGAAAGGAAAGTGCATCCAGATGAAAACTGGGAAACAGTCTGCAGTGTGAACTTAAATTCTCCGTGTTAAAAGCTTATGAACTCTGGTTTCTAAATGTTCTGATTTGTCTAAATCAAATCAGATACTATCCATCAATTGAAGACACAGCATTAAAAAGCAGCAAAGATGTGCTTACTGCATCAATGCAGATTAGAGACCATATTCCTGCAAGGAAGTAGTTTGGTCTGTCACCAAGTAATTCACAGTACGTGATCCTAAATGGATCTCCTTGAAGGAAGGACACTACCATGCTGTGCAGCTGCTTTCAGGCGTTTAAGACACTTGCAAATCCTAAAGCTGTAGACAGGAGATTTGAGTTAATCAGTGTTTGAGTCACCAAACACTTTGAACTCAAGGACCAAAACTGCTAACTATAGGCAGAGCTTTAGTAAAACAAGAGTAACATCTATTGCCAATGTTTGTAATATTACTGATCTCCCATGTCATACATCTGAGTTTTCTGGTGCAGCTTTTCTAAGGTGCCTTTGTAGGCTATGCTAAGGAGTATTTCTTGCGCTGCTCTCCATGTACTCTTTGGTACGTCCTCAAAGATTCTGTTCCATCACTTCGAAAAAGATGTGTGTAAGGTCCCTAGGAAAGTGTCGGAAAGGCTGAGCAGCTCCATCACTAAAAAGATAACAGAAATGTGTGTGCCTAATATGATATGTGTTGTAGTTAAGTGTTAGTAACACAGTAAGAGGAGGATAAAGAGGAGGAACTGGAAGAGTGCCATTAAAACCAATGACAAGGATGGAACCAAATTAAAATTTATATATGTGTTTATATACACACACACACACACACACACACACACACACACACACCCCCTATTAATGAACTATACCTGGAAATTTGAACTTGTTAGCTTAGATGGACCTACTTACAAAAGACTGTAGCTGTCCTTGCCATGGCAGTTCCATGGGAGCATTAAAGTATAGATGACAAGAAGTTTCTAGGTAATTAGCCAAAGCCAGTAAAAAGATACTATATAAGATTTTTTTTGTGTGCTTTATATGTAAATCAAGCATACAATTTCTGAGTTCTTATAGTCATTAATACATGTAAATATTTTAAGGAAAATGTTTATTATAACTGCCTACTCCTATTCGTTACAGGAACCACTATATGAGATGACAGCGAACCATGAAGACCTCCTTTCTCATATCTTTTATACATACATCCACACAAAAAATACTTTACCATATTTGTTTTTCTTGTCACCAAGAGCATCAACTCTGCTATCTGGACTGAGACAAATGAAGCCTTGGGTGAACCTGTTGTAAAACTGAAGTGTGTTGCCTTCCTGAAATTTCCACTTTTCGGCAGTCCACTAGTTGTGTAGACAACAAGCAGAAAAGACGTGTGAGAAGATGATACACAGGAATTTGACATACATGAGAACAACTAGCTTGATTTCAATCAAAGCATAATTTGAGTGGTTTAAATAAAAATAAAAAGGTATGTTCTCACAGTTTCCTCTCTCTTGAGTTCCAGCTCTTGTCCTGTACAGACAAAAACCATGTAATTAATTTACAGAGCATCCTCATTCCATTTGACACAATTGCAGTGAGGCTGGGTCTCCTCCCCACCAATTGTCACTTACTTCCTGGAAACGTGCTGGCATCTGTCACAGTCAGTTCTCTAGCAATACTGCCATCATCCTGCCCCTGGTCCAACCACCTGAAAACCAGAACCCATTTCAGTAATATAACCCTGACTGGCAGCTCCCACAATACTGTATACAAGGCACTTGCATACTGGTGCTTCCTGTTGCATTTATGAAAGCCTCAAGGCTGATGAATGGCAATACAAAAACCCAGCTTTAGTGGAAAGAGGTTGACTTTGGCAAAAAATGGTTTTGTTTGTTTGTTCTTGATGAAACTTCTAAGTAAATGCTTTCCTGGACTGAGGTACAAGGGCCTAAGCCAATTATTACAAATCAGAGAACTCATATTGATCCTAGATCAATAACAAAAGGTGTAGCGGTCATGATGTTTGCTCTTTCTGTCTGCAAGAAGGCTACAGAAGAATGCAAATTGTTCCATGCCCTGAAAATCCCTATGCAGTGAGGCAAATCCAACACAGGCAACAATTTTACCATGTCTGAACTATACTTTTACAGTGCCATTGTACCTGCTTCAAAACTCCTTACATAAGTTAACTCTAACTCCATTTGAGTCAAAAGGATTCACGCACTGTGGGAGTAAGATCAGCAAGCACGGCGTCGGGCTCTAACAATAACTAGCGCATACCCTGTATTTTTCTGCCTGGAATGGATTTGAACTCTCCCTAAATTATGTATGAAGCTAGCATTATAGGTCTCTTCATAGCAGTTCATCTCACCTAGAATACAGAATCAAAATTAGGTCAGGCAAAGATGAGGTGTTGTATCTGATAGGCAGAAAGCCCTTACTCACACATAAATCAGTTTCAGTGTGCACATCGCTCACTCCGAGCTGTCTCAGGCAGTTATTTATTCACTCAGAGAACTGAGAGGAGGAAATAGAATTGAGGTGCCACTAGCAAGGTGCAGCTAGATTCAATACGTGACTGAACTTCACCATTCCAAATCATTGCACTGATCTTTATCAATTATAATTTTTCCATAAGGTGCTGAGAATTCATCAGGCATAGATAAAATTAGAAATGAGCTATAGAACAGAAGATTCAGAGCAGCAGCATCTGCAGGGGGAAAGGCAGGGAAGTTAGGATTGCTTCAAATTACATTGCAGCTCAGTGATAGGCTGCAAGGCAAATGAGAAAAAGAGATGTGGTCAGGTAGCTGCGTTTGTGATACCCTTTTCACAAGATCTTAAAGTCTGATGCTGAGCTCACTGAACCCCAAGCTAATCTTCATTCTAACTGCAGTAAAGTAGGATCAGTCTGCTAGAGAGACAGCAACACACTCTACTGCAAAGCCTTGCGTCACATGACATGGAAGAGTGGACGGACCTGCTGGTGTCAGATTGAAGGTGTTGGATACCGGAAAAGTGTCAAAAAAATCATGTCTTGAACAGTTCAGAAGATGCAAGAACAGAAAATTCCCAGGCAGACATTTTTATTGCTTTTTCATGAGCTCAAACGCACCAGAGATTTGGGGCAGGTACAACCCAGAGAACTGTAAAAAGAATCAAATCATTTCAGCTCACTTTTTAGGAAACACATAGTTTCCTTGACAGGACACTTCTGAAGAAAAACTATGAGTAATTACAAACATATTGAAAATCTAACCCAAGTGAAACACCACCAACCTGTGACAAAGAAAAGTATAATCCAAGTCTCTTACAGGATCCTTGATTACAACTTTGTCCAGAAACCAGCCGTTTCCTTAAAATAAATTAAAAACAACAAAAAAAAGTTAGTTCATGAGAGTCAGATTTAATAAAGTCTGACATCCTGTGGGTTTCTGTCTTCTACTGGAACTGCAAAATCTGCAGCTCCACTGGCAGGTTGCTAGAGTCACGGCTGCCCTGATGGCTGGAGATAATACAGTACCTGCTCTAGGTAAGTCTCCTCCCTGGCTGTCACGGCCTTGAGTGCTGCACCTCCTCCCTCATTTAACGTAGTTATTGTATGAGATTTGTTTTGCCAATCAAAATATCAACAAGATTAGATAGCATCTTCTCATGGTTCAGGGCAAGTTACTATGTTTTACAATATTTAGGCTCAAGAGTGTGGAAGATAAGTCTTGTGACTGCAAGAGATTTGACTGTCACCATTAATTGGGTGTCTAACGACAAGATAGTGTAGCCAAAATTTCCAACTGCATCTTTATGGTGCAAATGTTATTCAACCTAAAATTATAATAGCCCATTTTATCTATAACACAGATTACACAAGACATATTCAATGTCTTATCAGACAGACACTCCCCCTCTTCACAGTTTTTCCACAGGGATTAGTCAAAAATGACAGAACAGATACCAGATGGTGTCCTTAACATAACAATTGAGATCATAGGGAAAATGAACACAAAATATTTGAAATCTGTGATGACACAATAAGGTAACTGTATCACTTCAACAGTTTCCTGAGAAGTCTTTGTCTTTCACTTCTAAAATGTTTTCATACATTCAGTTTTAGAAATGCATATTTTATTTCAAAGAAAAGGTTAATAACTTTGCAGGCAGCATTCATCAATTATATAGAGAGATTTCTGACCTGATCCAAGCCCATTGTGTCCTATAACAATTTTGTACAAATGTCCAAGGTGCACAGCTTCAACAGTGAAGATGTCAGTCTGCAATCAATCAACAAATTTTCAGTAAAATCTAAAAAGCAGAGCATTCTTCAGCTGTGGAATCCGGAAGACCCATAAACCCATCAAACTATTCTGTCAAGATCATCCTTTGAAATATCAGCTAATCATAAGGTGAGAACAAACCGAGAAGGACAGGTTTCCTGAAATAACAGAAGTAAGCCAGCCTGATCACTTTGCTAATGGAAGTAGTTCCATTCAAATGGATGAGATCAGAGTCAGAAAAGAGAATCCTGCTGAAATCTTAATTGGCTAAATAATTACAAATAACAACAGATTTCAACATTAGAAATGCAGGTATAAAATGTGAAGTTTAATTTTCTCTTTGCTTACCAAATCAAATTTTTAGAAGGCTTAAAAACAAAATTACATAGCTTACCTATTTTACAAATGAAAATTCTGTCTTCCAAAAGCACTAGTACACCTTTAGAAAGATTTTTTGGCTTAATTATGGAATTTTGAGGAAACACTGGAATGCAGTAATCTGTTTTCTAATTGCACCTTGCCTGGGATAACCACCCACCTGAGAGAGAAAAGCCACCCAAACATATCAGAAAATGCACTTTCTTTCACTTACTTGTCCTTTTAAAAATTTCTTGGGTTTCTGTGATCTGAGCAGCTGTCTTGATCCTGTGTCACCTCTTTCTCCATGGACAGAAATATAGACATCAGCCTCAGTTCCAGCATTCCACAGTTCTCCTGTTGTCACATGCACTTCGTAGACAGTCACTGACAATAAAAGATGACAACCTTTCATGTCACAAACACTATTATAGTTACAATAACATCTAGCCGTGAATGTGCCTGTAGAGTCCAAATATATCAGTGTCAAGGACAGTTAGAGTATAAAAGCTTAAAAATCCCATTCAACGTTAAGTAAAATAATGTATAAACTTTCTTTGGTGTTACCTTTACCCTTTTTATCCCAGACTGTCACTATGGGGACTGCAAACAGAACTGAACTTTAAATGCACATTAGTATGTCTCTGTCATACAGCATCATCTGAAATCCTGATAAAGCTGAAAAGTAAATAACATAAATCCAAGATTAAGCTCACCGTAAGTGGTGAGATCAAAACTATAACAAGCAACAGGAGCCATTAACTTTTGAATGCACTGGTTAACCAAACAAGCAAAAATCTAGCTCCATAGTTCTAGTTTTCTGGGACCTCAGAACTCAGGAAGCTGCTTTGTTTTGTTATTTTGCTGATTCATGCAATAGGACAGTATAGACTTCCTCTATTATACTCCATAGGGAAAGTCTTTAAAGGCTGTAAATTTGGGACAAAAAATCTAGAACTTAAATTCAAAAATTTGAATTATTGGTTATTTAATAGAAATGGATAATGCAAATAAAATTAGATTTGAGTCAAAACCCTATGAAACTGGAATAAAGACTATGATACATAAAAATATGTACAAATAGAAAACTGTGGTCATTAAAATGCAGATGTAGGAACCCCATAAAATTCAGAATTAAGATGGAATTACAATCTTCAGTAGAAACATGGGAAAGGCAATTTTTATGCCAACATACGTTAACAATATTTTGTTAGACCAAGTGAGGTACAGAGAAAATGAAGGGGGGAGAGAAAGCCCTGTTTTCTGGCACACAAGATTTTCTTCCAGATGTAGATGTCCTTGTGCTTCTCTGTACTGCAAGTAGAAAAGAGTTTCTGGACAACTGGGTCCAGAACAACATCAACATTATCATCATTCAATTATTGGTTTCCACTTGAAATATGTTATGAAACTTGACTGTAATCCTCTAAAGGAGGTTGCTCCCACATCTCATTCATCTGATTGAACAAACACCTTATTTTAATAACCAATGAACATATATTCACGATCATTCCATATCTGCAATTGTGCTAGGTGACCGTTCAGTGTTTACTATTTTTCCCTTGATGCTAAATTTTTTTATGATTACCTCGCCTTTATTTACATGGCATTTTTGTGCAGGTTACTATACAAACTGTCTTTAAAGAATTAAATTTGGATAATGGTAAGAATCTAACTAAAACAGTAAGCACTCTGCACAGGTAATTTTAATGTGCCCACACAGAATGCTAGTGCTAGTTTGCTTCTAGCATCAGAGCTAACTCATTTTGAGTTACTCTACTGAAGTGTTGTACCGCACACATATGCTATTAATAAATCCAGCATAAAGGCTTAAAATAGCTAACTTAAAAATTCTATTTTTTACATATCTCTTTACCTCTCATAAGCCTAGGGATCATCCCAGCTTTATAATAAGTATTTATGAGTATCTATAATGCCTACAGCTTTTATCTTAGGAAACAGTGACTCTCTTAACGGAATGAAGCTGCGCAGGGGAAGTTCAGACTGGAAAAGGTTCTGCACTAAGAGGCTGGTTGGTCACTGGAACAAGATCCCCAGGGAAGCTGTCATGGCACCAAGCCTCTCAGAGGTCAAGGAGCATCTGGACGATGCTTTAGCCATATGGTTTAGTTTTAGGCAGTCCCACGAGGAGCAGGGAGTTGGACTTGATGATGCTTATGGGTTCCTTTCAACTTGAGATATTCTATGATTCTTTCCTTTAGATACGGAAAAATGTGGAGAACAGAGACTAAGAGAAGGAACTGTATTCTTCACATCTATTTTTGTCTCTAAGTGTAGAAGATTACATTTGTAAACACGTAATTCTGAAATTAAAAGTGTAAGGTTTAAGATTCTTTACAAAATTTAATTATTTCCCCTGTGCCTACGAACTATAACAGATGGCACAAGGAGGTAAAATACATATCTTTTTCCAGATCAGGTATTATTATTTGGACAAAAGCCAGCCACATTTAAGGCACAGAAGCTTCTGACAGTCTTTAGTTAGAAGCATAGTCATGTACTATTTTTTCTCAGAGTACACCTGTCTCAATATTCAAAATGTTTTCATTTAGGAACTGTTAATTAATACTGTATGTTACCCACATCATTTACCGTGTCACCACCTGATCTATTTACTTCCCCAAATTTTTCTTTACAGCACTCACATGAACAGGTACAGCATAAAAAGACCATGGCAGAGGCAGAGAATTAATTTCTCCAGACCAGCAATCCCGTGTCTAAGAACACAACAATCCTCTCTACTCCTACAATTCCTTCCTTCATTAACCATCTACTTCCTATTTTCTGCAAGAAGAAAAGCAAAGATCCACTAGCCACCAAACACTGTGTAACTCTGATTTATTCCCAGCAAGTAGTTCATCATCATTTAGTTAAAGATTACGCCATAAAACATGAGCGGAAGAGGACAAAAGTAGGATGGTTGAGGACAAAATGTCAAACGAATGGTGTTCAGTCCCTCAAGCATTACAGCCAAAAAGTCTGTATGTAATACTTCTTAACAGTTTAATTCAGGCATTTTTCCTTTGAATAAAAAAGGCTGTTAAATCAGAAAGTGTTTCAGCCTCTTTTTATTCAGAAATTGGTTTTAAAGTGCCTCTCATCATCTCTCTCTCAGATTGAATCCAGACCTCTTCACTGTTCTGTTATCAAACTATCTTCTCTGAAGTTAAAAGCTATGCTCTCTTTTCACTGTCTCATGCAGAAATGTAATATTGGCAAAAAGACACAGAGGCTGTCTTTCAACTACTAAGAGATGAAACTGCCTTCTCCAAAGCCTTCAGCACAACACCTCTTATACTGAGGCTGGCAGATACGCACAGTTCTTTTCTTCCTCTGTTGTCTGAGGGAGAAATTGTTAACTACAAAATGCAGATTGAGAGGATGGTTTAAGTGCTCTGCTGTACTTTATGATGCACCAGGATTACCTGATAATAAAAATCTTTCATTGTGTCTGAATCTTAGAAAGGAGGGACCAACCTGCTCAGAAAGAAGAGCCTACAAACAAGAAGGTAGGTAAGGTCGGTGTCCCAGAATACTAAGGGAGAGAACATTTGGGGAAGAACAGATACTGCAGGCAGGGGATTGGAGCATATTCAATATAACATGTTAATCATCATTAATTAACGTTTACTTAAAGGGGGGAGAGGGATGTCTGTGTTTGGTTTTTACATCACTGTGCTTGTATGTCCCCCTACATTAATAATATTAAAGTCTCCTGACCAAAGAGACCAAACCTATGGGGAAGCAGGCTGACTGCCTCGGAGGCTTTTCATGCCCTCAAAGGTGTGAAGATCATAACCACTCAAGAACAAAAATCACTGTGGTTAGGGCTGGCCAGCCTCTCTCTACACCATTTTATGAGCCACTTACAGCTGCTAACTACATCACTGGAGGAAATCTCTCCTGCTATTCTTTTTCTCTTAAAGACATATTAATCAGACACAAACCTGGTTTTGTGCTCTTCTTTTCAGGCTCTTAATCTCAGTGCTTAGTCATCATAGGTAGGCATAAATACAGCTCCAGTCCACCCAGCTCTTTATTACGAGAGTGACTGTACCATGGTATGTTTCCCCACATCCATGGGCCATTTTCTGGACTTCTGCCCCTCAATTTCATTTATATCCTCTTCCTGTAGCCTGCACCCACAACAGCTGTTACCATTCAAATGGCTGTCAATACTTCAGTTTTGCACCGAACATGAAGTACCATAAGCATACCACCAAGCATTGCTACAGTATTAAACATTCTGAAAAAGGGGTTACACAGTTTTTGAAGAACTTTGAATGGAAATTCCTTTCATCCCATTAATCTTGTCCTTTGAAGCTGGTATGATCTTTTGGGGAAGGGAAGAGAGGACAGCGTGGTGTTTGTCTCAGGTGGATCTTACTCTAGGGAAAGCTCCAGCACAAGTAATACCGGTGCTGTTATGACTTTTCCCCCTTTACCATCATACCCTACAGGATGGAAAACTGCCCTAGCATTCTTGCTCCCTCACCCACATCTCTCCTAGGATACACGGATCTTGTTATGCCCTTGTACTTTCCTTAGATGGGAAAAGAACGATGCCATTTGGATAGAAGGAAAGAGCAAGCACAGACTTTCCATTCGCTGCCCATTGCTGAAACAGAGAGATCATATAACAACAACATCCAGTGTGGGTGACAGGGATTGGTGTGGTAAAGCAGGACATTAAAATAGTACAACAGTAGCAACACCCAATAATTTTTGTATTGTCTGGCATCACACACCTTAGAATACAATTTTTATGTGAGTTAATGGAGCTTTAAGCACTTATACCCTTCTGAAATATTGTGGAAGTTCTGTTCTACACCAAGAAATGAAAAGTATTCTGGAAGCCTGTCTCAGCCACTTACAAGAAAGAAACTAAAACAGCAGCTACAATAGTCATCCTGGAGCTATAATCCACAGTTACTGAAAACAGAGTTTGTGATCTGACTCATATATGATGGCTTCATGGTAGTTACACATATGTGAGGTGTCTTTACTATTGCCTCTATTTTAAAGCAAACACAAATGCTGAAAATATTACCAAAGAATGAGTCTTTTTGAAAGACCTGTGAAATTCTAATCATTGAAGACTCTCCCATCCTCTTTTGAGTGATTCTTAACTTTTTACCTGAGTATGCCCAGTAATCACAAGAAAATAACACAGAAAAAGTGTTGCAGCAATCAAAAGGTAATAGAGGGCCTGACGAAACACAACGAACTCATCTCTATCGGCATCAGTCTGTGGCCTGACTTAGCTGGTGTGGTATTGTGCTTACCTGGAAGAATTGGCTGACCCCGCTGTAAAACAGGAAGCTCCATAGATATTGCCCCATCAGCCTGGTCCCAGGCCAGCCATCGATGTGCAGGGAAAGAAAACTGCTCCCCTGAGAAAAGGTTCAGCAACTGCACCTAAAGAGCACCAAGAATTGCAATTTAAGTTACTGATCTCAGTCCAGATGGAACAGAACATGAAATGCGTGGGATGCTGTTCAAATCTGTGCAGGTAGAGCTCTGTGGCACAATCACGAAACAGAATCACAGAATCACAGAATCACAGAATCACAGAATGGTAGGGGTTGGAAGGGACCTCTGTGGGTCATCTAGTCCAAC